CAGACCACGGCAGAGCGTGGCCTAGCCTTTACATATCTGATACTGCCCAGCATGTGTGTTTTAATATCGTTAAATACTAAAAAGTAAAAGCTATGCAGTAAATTGGTCTTTAACAAAAGACACCTGGGGTCCTGGTACATTGTATTTCTTTGCTAAACACTTCAATATTGCAACCTAGCTTCAGAAGTGTTATGGTTTTTTAAATTATTAGGAAAATGTTAATAATCTCTCACAGATCCCTAAACATATTATAGTGCCTCTTCCAATGTTCCTTTACTTTCTGTATCTCAAAATTAAATATTCTATCAGAAAGTGTACTGAAAGAAATTCAGAGTCACTATTTTCATTAGGAAGAAAGATTTTTCTGCAGTAACAGTTTAAGTAGAAGGTGAAAAAACTGCAGCAATAGAAGCATGATCCCAAAGAAGGCCAGGACATACGTTTTCTTTATACGTTATACCGAGGAAAAAAGGGAAGAATTCATAATTAGACAAAAAAAATATATTTGCAATAGCAATTATGCATTGTCCCTAGGTAAAAATGCTACTAGGTAAAAATAGGTATTTTCAGAATCCAGCTCTAGGCTATTTTCAAACAAACGAACAATATCCCACAGTCATCCAAAGTTCAATAAATGCGTTATTCCGTGCATCTGACTATCTGCTTGATTAGAATAATATAAAAAAAGTCTTAATTATGCTTTTGTTTATATTTTTTATGAAATTACAAATAGTTAATACTTTCTTATACAAACTTTCTCATACTTTTCTTCTGTAGTTTGAAACGAGCAACTCTGTTTTGTATAAACAGCTTGGAAAGCAAATACAGAAAGTAACTACATTAGGACTGTTTGCTTTTTACTGTTTGCTGTTCTGCCGCTCCCAACTTTGAACACAGAATGTTAACAGTCACACAAAAGTGGTTTCAGAACAAGTTGTAAAAAAATGCACGCAGGCGCAAAGAAATCACTATTCACCATTTAAGGATAGTCTTTCCCTCACTTCTCCTTCAACAGTACTAAAAACATTCCTTTCAATCAGCTGAGTTCATGTACTAAGTAAATTAAAGTTACAGGAGAAGATACATCATGCATCATTGCAAGAGTCCTCTAGTGCCTATAATAAAAAGTACAGATCCAAGACACTTAGCAGGTTTTTATTTTTGTCAAAAAGCAGACAAAGGCTTTGAAAAAGTGTCTTCTTTACAATATAGTTCCTGTTTCTTTGTTTTGTAGTGATATTATAATCTTTTGTCAGAAAGACTACAAATGCTTCCATGACAATGTCACTTTTGTCGACTAAGCACTATCATTTCGGTGCTAGCCAAAGGAGTATAAAGCAAGTGCTGCAGACATTCTTTCAAAAATTCAGCTATTATTTTCAGGGAAGTACAGAACTTGGATTAATTTTACATTCCTGTAAACGTACTACCTCTTTGACTATCGTTCCACTTTCAAAAGTTCAACTACAAAATAAAGTATCCGAGAAATTTTGGTGATGTTCTTGGTCAAAATATTCAGGTAAACTCTCCACAGTGGAACTCATCCAGAAAACTGATTTAGTGCAGGAACTGCTATTATACATTAGCACTCCTAAAATTCTGTTTCAGGAACATTCTGTTCCTGAAATCTTTAAACATTCATCTTCATCCAAAAAAAAAACAACTACACATTTTCCCATACTTATTTAATATAGAATAATGTGATCTTCAAAAAAAAGTGCCATGCTTTGAATGCCTAAGACAAGCAGAAATATGCTTATAAAAGTAAAAAAAAGTAAAACGTTTCTTCAAAGAGTTGTAAATGAAAATATTGATGGCCTAAGAAATATATATTTTAAAGTGATCTAATCCCTTCCATTTACACATTATTTAGAGTGACATGCCCTTTTCTCAATCCTTTTCCAGTTCACATTAGTTCTGCGAATTGCCAGCTGGAAAACAAAAGTGAAGTGTATGCTTTGAAGTAATTTAATAAAATGAGATTTCACTTACCTAATTCTTTAGAAACTGGAGATTCAGCTGATATCTCTCCAATCTTTGCCAGGCTATCATAATATGCTCTTCCAGCCACTATCATAGCTTATGGAGGGGGAGGGGAGGGAAAGGGAAAAGGAAAGAAATTTAAAACAAAGGTTATCAAAAGAATTTTCCGTTTCCATTCATCTATGATCCCATGAAATTTTGGAGTCTGGGATGGATAATAAGGGAGAGGTATATGGCAATAAGGGAACTCTGCTATCACAGCAAGTCACTCAAGTCCCTATGCTACCTAGTAAATTCCGGAACCAGGTGACAGAAAGACAGGACACCAGAATATAGTAATAGGTTTGCAGCCTGTTCCTGAGTTCCAACTTTCAAGTATATCCAGGAGCAATCTGAATCTGTGGGTAAGTATAGTGCCAGCCATAACCCATTGGTCAGGACATAACAAAATTTCCTCAATATAGATAAGCTGTGTTGGAAAAAAGCAAAACGTAATCCCATATTTACTAGGAATCCCTAGGTCTCTGTCCCATGTTCCCAAAGTTAAAAGTCTGCTAGCCAGAAACTAAGTCTTCACTACTGAGAACTGGCTACTGTCCATGAGAAAGTGAACCTACAGTTCCAACAAGGAGACATGAAGCCCTTCAAAAATAAACCATCCTTTACTGTTCAAGTTAGATGCAACAGAGTAACTCGCATCACAAAATGATGACAAGAAGTGTGGCAGACATGATATATTGGGGGAAAAAAAAAAAAAAAAGTAAAGCGTGAAAGGGTCAATACATCTTATAAAGCCATTCCTAGAAAATACCATTATGGATAACACTGTGCAGTTACCATAGACTGCAGTGACAAATATGATTCCTTGTCAGGGAGTGAGACCACCAGAGACAAGGAAATCCCAGGATCCTATAGGATCGACTCCGATTTTTCCACTTCAAGGAAACTTCAGGCTCCTTAAGTCTTCAAAGATTAAGTCTCTGAAATTAAGTAATCAAGTAATTAAGTCTCTGACTTAATTCAAAGATTAAGTCTCTTCAGGTTATAAACGCTTATGATAGATAACCAGATTTGGCATTCTTCTTGTAGTTTTCAACTGGTACTACTAGAGTTCCTTAGATTGTTATAAATTACATTGTTCAGCAGCTTAAGCTTTGGAAGATTTCTAGTTTCTGGGATAGATGTGAAAAATTAGCTCAGAATAGCAGTGAAAGCTGTATCCCAAGTGTTTTAAGCAATAAAACCTTAGCCAACAGGTGCATGCACCATTTAAGAAACCTGAAGGTTTCACGTTCTCAACCTGACAGTCCCTAGTGAACCCTTGAACATTTACTTTTCTTTCCAGGACAACTTTTTTTTTTTTTGGTACCATTTTATTGTCTGTAGTTCAATTCTAGCTTTACAGGAAGCATAAAGCATTTAGTAAGTATCACTAAGGTTTCATTTATTCTCAGTTAATCATTTCCTGGTTATATCTGATTTAAACAGTGAAGCCAGTTTTGCTGGAATGAACGCAGAAACATCAAGATTCAAACTGCAGGGAGGCTAGTAGTGAGCAACAGAATACATATATAGTAGATCTGCACCACGCAGTGGTTTCCTGACACTTTCAGGGTATCTAGAACGGATCTGCATACTACAAAGATAAAGAAAGTATGAGGGGAAAAAAATGGCAAGGTTTTATTGTAAAAGGCAGTAAAAAATATTTATGAAGTCTTTATTAATTTTTTTGTTATAGTTCATTTTTTACCCCACAGTGTAATCCAAGCAGACTGTCATTGTTGACTTGAGAATATTCTTTTTTGGGGAAAACGGTGATTGCCAATTACACCATTTTAGGCCTGTATTTTATCATTTTTACTAGCAAAGGTGACATCTTTGGTTACCTAACAGCCCTCCCTGACAAGCCTGAAACAATGGCTTCCGTCTTCCAAACGGAACAAAGATTCTTTCTGAGGTTTCAGGCTCTTTTGCATTACACAAGACTCATTTCTTTAAGCTACTTCTTGCAGGTGCTTCGTATTCAAAGTTGCTGCACAGAAGAACTATAGTGGTGCTACTGCTGGAGCAGTATGCCACAGTCCCGTGAGCCAAGGGTTTATGCCAATGCATCTTTGCCTATCTAACGCTTTCTCAAGCTAGCCCCATGTCATTCTTATCTTTCAATATAGGCACACCTATGGGGGGGGGGGAAGGGGAATGTGTGACCTTTTCCTGTGCTTATGAAGTTAATGATGAATTCCACCTGTAAAGTCTTTTAGGGTTACTGTGGCTGGTATATTGTATTTCTGAAGAGAAGGAGTTTTGACCTTTTAACCTCAAAATGCATAAAGAATACACTATAAAACTTACAAAAGCTTCTGATAGATTTATGTTCTCTGTCAGCCTGTTCTGACTTGCTTGGAAAGCTGCAAAGTGTTTGACTGTTTAGCAACAGAATATTTACTCCTTGTTACAGATCTATTTACGCTGCTGAGCGTTTATGGAGAACAGCCCAAAAATGACTTTAACGTAGTTTCCCATCAGTTGCAATTAAACATTTAAATCATGTGAAATTAAACATTCATACTAGATTGTTGATGACAAATTAAATAATAATAAAAAAGAGACACAATATAATGTATCAGCAGTAAAAAATGAACAAAAACACTCTCAGAAACTGGTATGAGATCTTCCAGGTAAACATGGAAACACTTGTTATTACTTCCGGTACTACCTAAAATCTGTGAACTACATTTGCTAATAAGTCAGTTTGGGTATTACTGTGACTAAGTCAACATTTCCTTATTTTCATCTCCAGCATGCTCTGGTTTTATCTTTTTCTCAAGCCTGATCTAAAATTTGCATGAAGGGATATTTCCGTGCCTACTTGGCTATGCACTACCTCCGCAGGATCACATTTCTCAGAGTACTAGATTACGTGTAGGGTAAAGATATGCCACAGACTGGAAATAAAGTAAAGTTAGAGATTTTTACTTTGCTTTAACATGATATCCAGCAGCTCGACAGCTCTGCATAAGTGAAAAGGAGCAAGCTTTAACAGGTCCTACAATATAAGCTTTGGCAGTCTAGAGCACAGTCTCGAAAATCCATTCTTACATGAATAGTTTCTCCGAAGTCAATAACGGAAGTAAGCAACCGCAGTATAAAAAGTCTGAGAGATGAGGACCTTAGATTCAAATTTATACATTCTGATTTTTGACTCCATTAGAAAGATACCGTCAGATTTAGTATGGATTAAAAAAGAAAAAAATTCTAATGCATTCCTGTAACTCTTATGCATTCAAATTGTTCTGTTTACAGGATTACTTACCTGCACTGCTACATGTGTACAGGTGAGCAGGAACAGATCTAAGAATGGGAAGTACCTTTGGAAGATACATTGTGTTCTTTTTCCTGGAAGTATGTAACAGTTTGCTTTTTCCATTTATATCGTGCTTCTAATATAGGTTATTTAGACTTCAGTTTATTTTGCAGTAGCTCTATGTGTAACTGTTTGGGATGCAGTTTCTGCTGGACAGTGTCTGAACTCAGTCAAAATCCTGTTTCCCCTCTCATTAAAAAAAAGGGGGGGGGAGGAGATGTGCTTGTTTTTTTGTTTTTAATACACAAAAATTCAACACTGAGTTTAAGTTTATACCCAACCCTTATATATAACATGTACATTTAAATGAAAGTTAAACCTTTTTTCTAAAGTTTACATACAGAAGACTTACCGTTAACAGCTTTTTCATAGTTCTTCCCCAAGTTTATTAAATTCCTCAATCCTGGATTGAACTGTTCCATAACATTCTAGTGAACAGAAAATAGATTTGTGTTATAGTCAAGACAGTTCAACAGTGGATGAAAATCTTTGTCTGAAGGACGCTTAGGTCTAGATTTATGTTTCCTATGTTCAGCCTGTGAAACCTAGTGGACTTGGTGGGAAGAGGAAGAGGCCAAAGGATGGAAGAGAAAGAAAATTGAGCATATAAGATCAACAATTAAAAAAAAAGTTTTAGCCTAAACTTCTATTTCAGTTTTTAAAGAGAAATCTGGTTGTTTATTATGTAAAAGGATGTCAAACATATGATCAGATTTTGAGGGAGAAATAAGAGTGAGAGAAATACCTTTTCTTCACTGCTAATTATTTTAGAGAAATTAGACAGTAACAAAAACTTTCTGACAACTGTTCAGGATTTGGACACTGCTAAAAAAAACTGCTGGAAAAAGGAAAAAAGAACCTGAGCAGACACTCGCCTGAGGGCAGACTTAGCGCTTCCTATTTACATGCCACAGAGGAAACCGAAAGATCACCTTTCCTAAGTTGCAGATAGCATTTAGGGAGAGTAGTTCAGACATTTTTTTAGTTTGAAAATGCTGTATTTTATTGTGTGAAGCTATAGAATTTCAGAAAGGAAAGCGAAAACTATTGGCCTCATTTAAGAGGAAGGAGAAAAAAAATCCCCTGCAGCTGCTTTGGCTGTTAAGTACCCCTGTTGGCTGGAGCAACCAGAATTTGGAATCCAGCAACCCAGAGCGCGACTGCTCTCACACCCAGCACGTTCTAGAAACTGGTGAAGCGGTAGCAATCGTGACTGGCAATTTCACAGGGCAAGAAAACAGCTAAACAGTGAACAAAAAGAAGTTTCAAGTCTTTGCAGAAAAGAGAAAATAACTTAAGCTGTGCCATATGAAAGCAAATATCAAGTTTCCCCAAGTTTAGAAGTTGTGGGGGGAAAGGGCAGGAAGAAACTTTGCCCGCTCCAAAAAGAGAAGTCACCCACAAATCTGAGCTGTCCCTGCTGCATAGGAAAGTTTCAGTTTTCCTCTTTCCAGGCAAAGACAGTAACTATATTTTTTCCAAATCAATATCGCAAAATTACTTTTACCTTATGAGCACTGAAAAAAAAAGAAAAGAAAAGAAAAAAAGCAGATATGCTGATATAAATACAGCAGTTATTTACTCCCGTGAATCATGCCCTTTAAGGTGTCCTGAATACGCGTAGCATAAGTAGTGGTATTCCAACATTTTGGATGTTGGCAGTGAACTTTTGAACAACGCCTAATAGGAGTTTAATTCCTATTTGAAAGATACCCCGAGTTACTCTTGTTTGGTGGCTAGCTGGTTTCTTCAAGTAGAATTGCTATCTGAATTAGGTTTAAAGATACAGCAGCTTTGTTTAAGCTCTTCTACTTACAGAAACGTCTACAGCTGACCAAGTATTACAGAATTTGCCAGATACACTTACATGTGCCATTTAAAATTGGTAAAGCCACACTGCTCCAATCCTTCCTTTTCTCTCTTCCATACAAAATACAATTGCATATAAAACCAGCTGCAAAGTCTCGGGAACACTTTGGTAGTGAAGACTTATTTATCTTAATATAAAAGCCCCATATTTCCACAGAGCAGAGCCTTAAACTTCTCTAACAAAAGTAACCATTACATTACTCTAAAAATATTAGAAACAAAGGAGGAGCATGTGGTATCTGAAGACACCAGTTTCTTGATTTTGTTACTATTTTTTATGGCACAACTTGCATCTTTCTGGGTGTTGTTCAAACTGCAGAACTTTCAAGATCGAGGAATTCAAAACAGACACTTTCTGTTTACAAGAAACAGAAGACACCAAACAAGTGAAATAATATCAGGCTTTTGTCCGTTATGCTACTAACAGAATGAAAATATTTATATTTAGTACATACACAGACCCAGAAAGAACCAGAATACCATCACATTTGTCTTATTTTCAGGCCAGGTTACTTAGCCATTGTAACATTTTATTTTAAATATAGTGCCACCATGATGACTTGTAGTTAATTTAAAAAGCAAAGAAAAGAATTAGCTTCAAATTCCACCACTACTTCAGATTTCACCAGTACTTAGCAGTCACGCTAAGTAATTATTTTTACGCAAAACTCTTAAAATATTTTCACTATTCATTTCCTTATCGCATTACATACTAGACTGGTGTCATTTAATATACTTGACCTCTGTATATAGTTTTGCTGGAACCGGATAAAATTATAAGTTCACATATGGCACTGAGTGACATCCTTTAAGAACGGACTTCAGTGTGAACTTAATGTCACCCAACCCGTTAGAGTGCCGATTTTGAGAATGCATGCAATCATTCTGTTAATTGTCAAAGTATTTTTTTATTATTATTTTTTTCTTTTTTAAGTTGGTCTCATGCACTACAAGGCCTCCACTACTAGCTCATCTCTCCATCTCCCTGATACCATGACAAAATACGAACCATCAGCATCTCTGTTTGGGATCAGTACAACTGCTTCGTCCAGGCAAGCCACGAGCCAGAAAGATTAAGGTCAAGAGTTTCCTTTTAAATCTATAAATTTAACTATTGTCAAGTCTCTGACTTTCCATTTTCTAGGTAATGGAATTGAGGAATCTGTAATCCAAGCAATTATTTTATCATTACTCTAACAGTGACAGATGATATGTCATTACACATCGGTATCACAATTCCGAGTGAACATGATACCAAAAGATATAAAAGTATTTAGGTTCTGATAGTGGTACAGCATATACAGCACAAAACTGGACAGAAAAGTAGCCCCGCTGCCTTTATTCGTACAAATTAAACACAGCTGGGACTGGTTTCTGATCTATACTATTAAACTCTTACCCATACAAACACGATCACTGCAAGCAAACTGCCTACCGTCCCCAGGGTCTTTCATCTGTGTTAACTCACAAACCACATCCAGAAATCTTTGGGGAAAGTGATTCAGTTTGGCCAACAATGCCATGGGCTATTCTAGCAACTTAACAGCACGGAGTTTCAAGCTCCCTTGCTGCCCGCCTCTTTTGCTCTCCCCACAGCTGAAGCAGTGTTACTCCGTGCCTTTGCTCAAGTGCAAAGTTGTCTCTTCCTAGTCCCATCTTTTTGTTGTTTCTTCCCAGCAGAGTGATAAAGAGGAGGTCTGCTGGCATACAGGGAGTCAATGAATCATGGGGAAAGAATGGGTGAATTAGAGGATCGTGTCAGGATATGGAGTTCAAGGACGGGGGGAGAAGAAAGACGTGCAGAAAGTGGAGAGCATGCACATGCATGGCGGGCAAGAATCCCAGTGCTACCTTGCACTGCTGCCCCACACTGGAAATTGTATGCCCGAGAGCTAGATCCTGCTCTCCCCTCCCCAACAAGAGGTTACAAATCAAAGCCCTTACCCCTCTACACCCTTGTCACCTACCCCAAAATTTTAACGGTAACATGATAACTGCTGGTCTTGAAATTCTGATTTTTGAAATGAATATCAAAGATTCAAGTGGATTCCAGTTTCCTTGGCATCTTCCAATTCAGATTCCAAACTGTGTAAATGGTGATTGCACCTGCATCATTAACTGTTTGCATTTCAGAAGTGAATAAAACCCAGCAAGAACCTTCAAGTGCTCCCTCCTCTGAAACCAAACACCGCAGTTCTTTGCTTTCACCAGCAGACTTCATATGCATCAGGTAATCAGGTTCAGGAGATGCAGACCATGCTGTGAAAATACAGCAGGTCCACTGAAGTACAGAGCAGTCGCAGGAAGAATTCCAGTACATCTGCTCAATGTATATGTAAAACCGCTGGGAAAGATGAAGGAACAATTTATAGCTCAATGCCTTCAGTAGTTGGAAGGCATACAACTAATGGATCTTTTCTCCATCAGACCAAGGAGTCTCTGGAAGTTTTTTCAATCCCTGCACTGCCACAGCGGTTGATTGTTAGCAGAAGTGTCTGAACCTGTCTCTAGATGGGAATGCCTGAGAAATGGCAAAAACCTTAGCAGTGGAAATTCCTCTTTGGAATTTGCTTGGTTTAACACAGGCTATGCTTAGCTGATCCTCACAGCTCTGTGAAAGGCTCATCTACTTTCCTATTAAAGTTTTGTATTTGATAGACAGATACAGAACTTAATTTTGGATACCTAGAAGGTAATTATTTTATCTAACGAAATAATTTTTAGATCATTTTTCTTCTCTTCAGCAGTAGAAAGAGGCATAAAACATGTTTTTTTCCTACTGAAAACTTGATCCTCAGAGCAAACAAAAACTTGACCTGGTTTTTAGAGCTCTTTTTATAAAGTTAACCACCGTTGCCATCTTTGAAGTAGTGACATTCCAAAAGACACATTCCTAAAAGAAATATCTAGAGCACTTTTTCCAAAAAGAGAAACCGCTCAGTGGCAACTCCTTTTTCAGGATCAGATCAATTTGGTGTTGCTAAGACATGTCAGATCATTTAAAGTGATTTTTGTTTAACTTCAGAAGTTACAGGGTAAAAAAAGCTGCTCAGAAATCAATTTGCACAACTAATTATTTTCAAATGATACTTCACTACTTTACAGCTTCCCTCATTTACAGTTTGAGGAAGGGGTCATGAAAACGACTGTAGCAGAACACCAGTACAAAATGGCAAATCATACATTAAAACCAGATTTGAAAAATTCCAAAATAGCAAGGACAAAGGAGCACAGAAGAATTTCCAAGCAAGAGAACTACAAAAGCCTCAAACAGCATCAGGATCGTGTTATCTACCATATTTTACAAAGACATAGTAGTAATACTTCTGTTTCTATCCAAATATACAAGACAAAGTAAAATAAATAAATAAATAAATAAAGCTGAGAGATGAAGTAGCTCATGGAAAGTCACAACACCTCACCTCTACTGTGAGGAACATAACCTAGACCTCCTAATTGCCAATCTAGTGTCCTATATTCTGGTGACACACTACCTCTCACGAGCACAGTAGTTAACTAGAAGAGGACAGGAGGCACATGATTAGATCCTACAGCTCT